CTCCCCCTAGAGAGGTACTCAGTTAGCAAAATGAAAATCTTCAGGATCCCTTACCACATCTGGCTCAAGGGGCCATCTGCAAGGTCGCACTAATTCATTCGCTGCTGAAACTGCGGCTGCATTTAAACCCAGGGGTAGAAAAAGCTTCCTTTATACTCAAATCACCTCCCCTATGCAGTTCCCAGCCCTGTGGGACTGGCTGAGGCCACTGGCCCACTGGTGTTCTTCTGCATCTCCCTTGCTCTGAACTACATGACCCGAGAGGCCCAGCTTAACTTACCAGGAACCTCAAAGCAAGCATTCCTCTCTGGGTGCTTCCTCACTGAGAAAAACAACAAATGACCGCTCTGGCCCCAAGTTTGATTGACACTCCCCTGCGCAGTACATCCCACTGTGGGATCCAGAAAGATCACAGCTTTCCCCTGGGCGGTTTAGAATCCCACTGCACCACACACCCCAGTCCCCATTCCATCAACATGTCCCCTCCAGTGGGCATGCATTCCTTGCCCTGACTTTTACTTTCGCTTTTACTACAGCCAAATAATTGTGCAAAGAGGAAAAAAAATGGGTAATTTCCCCCCCTTTTTTTTACCATATAATTTCCTGTTTCCCGCCAAACTCCAACAAAGCCTCTACTGTTCCCACGTTTTTATTTGCACCAAATATACATATACTCTTTTTTTTGTTATTTTTTAGGTAAATGGTGTTCAATGCTTTCTTGTTGACCAGTATGTCGTGAGAGCTGATGGATGCTGCAGGAAGCCTGAGGGCTGAGGAGGCCCAGGGAGGAGTTGAAGGAACATTAGAGGGGCGAGCTGCTGTGGCTTCTGAGACTGGCTTCCACACTGAGGCTGGGCAGTGGGAAGGAGAACCGTACTTGTCTGAGCCCCAAAACACACACAGCCGGCAGGAGAGCATCTCTCAGGGACCGTTTTGCTGGTCAGACCTGACTGTTGCTCGCTGGGTGAGCACCAACACTGAGGTTTGAACAAGGAAAGCTCTAGAAAGAAACGGTTTCTGAAGCCAAAGTCTACATCTGCAACGTGAGGAGATGGCTCCCCCCAGTGTCGGGATTGTTCTTTGGAAACCCAAAGGAAACTAAGCCAGAGCCATGACCTTGACCGCTTCAAGGTGGTGTGACTCACAGGCCTGGAGGAGAAGGAGAAGGAGGAGGCAGGTGCCCAGGTTGGGGGGCGAGTTGCCCCAAAGCCGGTCCTCCCTCTGTTGCCCCCAGATCCTGCGTTCAATGCTGCAAACCCCCCAACACAGCTTTCTCCGAAGATTCAAAAAAGCCACCAGGCTTTTTTTTTTTTTTTTTTTTTAATAATGTGTTTTATTTGCTCTTTTCTTCTTTTCCTTTGTAGCAAATGTACCAAACCCTACAGATAAACAGTTAGGGTCATATGGTCACAATACGTGGAACCCCATTGTCTCCCCCAACATCTTTTCTTGTTCAAATCTTGATCCTTTCCAGCCTGGGGGCCTCCTGCTGAATGCCAGGACCTCCCAAAAACCACCTTTAATGGGGAAGTGCCATAGACCTGTGCAGAAAGCCGCCGGCGTCATTTTCCTATTCTTAGGTTCACACGGAAAGCTGGCTACCTATGAAGTTCGAAAACTTCTCAGGGCTGCCAGCCTGTGGCCCTGAGAAAGTACATGGTTCTGGTCTGCTACAAGGGATCCATGCACAGTTTTCAAAATAAATTCACTAGAGAACAGAACCAAAAGAGAGAGAGAGAGAGAGAATTGATGCAGAATTCGGTCCAATATAAAGAAATACACAAATAATGCAAATATTTCCCAAGTCCTTTCAGTGTCACAAACTGTGTAGGGGAAAATCATATTACCATCCTTTGCTCTAAAGATACCAGCCTCAGTAGGCATTTGACAAAGCTAAAGAAAATGGCCCAAGGCTGGAAGAGTCAATGCTAAAGCAAGGAAAGAAACCTTGAAAGTGCTCTGGTTCACCTGGAGGCTGGTCCTTTATAGAATGTGTCCACTTCAAGCCATTCCCCTTCATGTCAGAAGCTGAGTGTTACTATAAGTTAGGACAGTGTCTTCTCTCCTTTATGGGGCACATAAGGAAGTGACAAGATCATGAATCTCTCTTTTTTTTTTTTCTGATTTTGGTAATGACACATTCTCATTAAAGAAAAATACAAAATACAGTTTGTAATTTTTTTCCCTCGGCGTCATTAAATATTTTCCTATGTCGTGAAATATGTTTTGAAAATCTCATTGTAATGGTTGCACAATGTTCTACTTTTAAAACCATTCTTTAATGCTAAGACATGTTTCCTTTTTTTTTTTTTTCTTTTCTGTTTTAAAGTGAAACAAAATAGAGGAACATAGGAGAAAATAAAAAAAGAGAGAGGGAGGGAGGCAAACCATAAGAGACTCTTAACTCCAGAAAACAAACTGGGGGTTGCTGGCGGGGTGGGCAGATGGGGTAACAGGGGGATGGGCATTAAGGAGGGCACGTGATGTAATCAGCACTGGGTGTTGTACGTAACTGATGAACCACTGGATTCTAGTCCTAAAACTAATATTACACTAGATTTTAACTAACTAAAATTTGAATAAAAGCTTGAAATATTTTTTAAACAGTGAGTGTAGTAAACATTTTGAACATTAACCTTCATTCAGATTTCTGAGTTTCTGGGTCAAGGGGAAAGTCACTTCAGTTGCTGAAACATGCAGTTAAGGGTCTCATGACCCCATGCCTCTGTTCTCCATGCCAGCATATGGTGCCTTTGCAGAGGAAATACAACTGGGAAAAATATTTGTTTTGAATTGAAACTCAGCGTAAAATTAAAAAGTTGAGATTTGATGTTTAGGTTTTGTTATCACAACTTTTAAACAATTCAAGGTTATCCAGAGAGAATGTACTATAAAAGCAGTATGCTAAGTCTTTTCCCTTCTTCTACAGAATAACAATTTTTTTTTTTTCCTTTCCAAATTCTCTATTCTTGCATAGCAGAAATCATGGCAGTCACACAGCTGGGAAACTGCCGGCTGATTGCCCGCGAGGGTTGGCATCTGGGACCCTGGCCTGTCACTGCAGTGTTTTGCCTGTGGTGAGAGTTCAGCAGACACCCACCAATTTAAGAGCAGGTGGAAGGAAGGTTGAAATGCAAAGACATCAAGCTTCAGGGCTTCTGCTGTGTTTCTCCCATACTCCAAATCACCAAGATGTAAGCAGTATACACCGGCATCAGAATCCCACACTCAGAAATACATCCTGAGACCCAGGACTGTCATTTCCTCCATGAGCTGCCTGAAAAGGATCTGAGAAATTTCCGCACCTACAAAGTGGGGGAGTACCAGACTACCTAATCTTAGAGTTGTCCTGACACTCAGCATGAAAATGAAACCATATATGTGGTTTAAATGAGCCCTAAAACTCAAGTAATCACATTAAATAAACCATGAAATAAATTAATCATTAAATAACTCTAAAATTCAGATAATCACAAACTACTCTTATGGCCACATCCAAGGGGCTGGAGAGCATTGGGGGTAAATATTAAGAAAGTAGAGGGCATCTCCCCGGTGTTATGCAACCTTACAGTTCACTTACAATGATCAATACAATAGAGAGTCTAGAATATTCCAAGTATGTCTGGCCCCAGAACTTTTGATTTGCATTACATCTAATAACACCCACATATTAGGAAACATGGGTTTGGGGGTTTGATTTCACATAGAATGTAAGGTCTCTGAAGGCAAGCACTTTGTCTTGTACCCCGCTGTATCTTCAAGGCATAGAAGAGCTGCCTGCATATAATAGGTACTCAATAAAATTTACATTCATTGCATAATGAATATACTTTCTATTAAGCTAATTTGAAAATAGCATCTGAAAAGAGTTTGCATAGTGAAGTGAAACATGGATTTTTATGCTCTGCTAGTAAAAGTGTAAATAGGTTAAGACTTTTGAAAAGCAGAAAGTATGGTAAAAAGCAGCCTGGTGAAGAACTTTTAAAGTGTTCCTACCCTCTCACCAAGTTGTGCTGCTTCTGGAAATTTATTTGGATGTTATTCTAAGTATGAAAAACAAAAGTTTGCATTTAAGATGCTCAGGAGATGTAGTATTATTTAAAATGGAAAAAAAAAACACCTGAAAATGATCTGAATTATGTTCAAAAATCACTGAATAACTAAGTTACAGAATATCCACTTGATGGGTTATTCTGTGCATAATATGCTTATGGAAATGATATAACTTAGAAATATTCTTATATTGTAAGCATGTATTCACAAACCATATATAATTTAGTATCCTTTTTTCTTGTATTAAGGAAAAAGGCAAGAAATTAAATTATATAGGAATTGTAAGCCATATATGTAATAAATGCATATATATATATATATATATATATATATATATATAATATGTTTTAAAAATGCAGAAAAAAAAACTAACATTGAGTGCTACTCTGTCAGGCATTTGTTCTAAATACTTTACATACATCTAACTTCTTTATTTTCCCAATAATCTATAAGGCAGTCACTACTGCAATTGCAATACTTCGTATAATACTGAAAAAATGCTGGGAGATAACACACCCACATAGTGACAACAGCTGTCCCTGAGTGATCGAAAAACAGCAACTACGCTCCTTGCACTTTCCTGCATTTTTACAAGTGTTTCGTAGTGATGAGAAAACTGCACTCTAACAGGGTAAATTAATGAATTAATCTGTGTTCCTATAATATATCTGAACAGGAAAAAACTTTTTAATTGCCCACAGGACCCCTTTATTTCAACAGGGAACTCCGGTCCGTGCTCTACTCGCCAGTTCTCTTCTATACAGAAGAGAAAAATAAAAGGAAGCTCCATTTAGGGTGAAATACGTTGAAAATCGGCTATTTTTACGAATGCAGAGAAACTGGCCAAGGCTACTGTTGGGTTTCCAGTTTCTATGTCGCATTTGCTCAAACCCCAAGATAATCTCAGATAATCACTCCGCCCTACCCAGAATGAAGAATTTAGTCACCAGAAGCTCACATGCCCTCACAAATCAACGAGTCAGTGGTGAGATGTGGAGATAAGGGTGTGGAGGTAGAGGAGCAGTCAGGGCCCAGGCACTGGACAAGAAGAACCCGCAGGGGCAGCGGGAAGGTTCATTTATTTTTATGCAGCGGGAGGAAATGTCCTTGATACACCCTTCGGAGCGGTAGAAAGAAGGGGTAAAAAGATGCTAATAAAGCTAGCTATGAATGTGAAGTTGATCACATGCCACCTATTTATCTAAATGGCAATTTAAAAACTAGGGACAATAAATCCATCCTACACTAAGGACCATTTAGTAACGCAAGCATTTTATCTCACGGCGTTGTCGGTGCCCACTAGCTCAATGGGTCCAACCCACTTCTAAAGACCACAAATCCCAGCCTGTGACCTCTGCGCATGCGTCCTGAAGACCTACGCCTACATTTCCCAGAAGGCCGAGCGGCTACGCTGACGCACGCGTGCGCCCTTGCGTCTCTCCCTCTAACTCGGGTTTGACCTACAGCCTCCTGCACAAGATGGCTGTCCCAGCAGTGTCTGGCTTGTCCCGGCAGGTGAGAGAACGGAGGTCCTGAAAACTAGCGAGACGATCCCTCCTAGGGTGAAACGTACCAGGTCGTTAAGGGCCACGGGTGAGGCCACAGCTGGGGAAGCGTGGCCGCCATTCTGTGTTGTGGGGCCCTAAGAGTGGGGGCGACACACAGGAGCTCAGGCGGCCCCTGCCTCCCTTCTGTGGACGCTCGCGGGGCAGGTGGTGCAGGGTGACGCGTGCCTGACCTTGGCGACCCCCGAGTACAGCCTCGGGAAGCAGGCAGCTTGAGGACCAAGGGAGAGGGGGGCCGCAAGGAAAGGACACGGCCCACCCCTAAGTCACTTAACTTCTGTTGTGGTGGTTAAACCGGTCAGGGGTCACCAGTAATGCTAAGGATTATTTGCAAAACCCATTTCACTTTTGTATAAAGAAAATGAGACGGAAAGGTTTAAATGACTCGTCCTTGGCAGCTCAGCCAGGAAGGGGTAGGTAGAGCTGAGATTCGAACCCACAGTCACACAGAAGATGGAGTTGGAAAGAAAATTCATACTCTTTATATATAAACTACATATCAGCACCATGCTTTGCGTATCATGACACCTTGCAGCTTAGGTAAGTTGCCTGTAAGTGATAAGTCTTTTAATCCCCACAGCCAGTTGGTATAATACACAACAGAGCTGAAATTATTTAAAGGTGACCCAGGCTTTTGCAGATTTTTTAAACAGTGGGTCCCAGCTCTATTCCTTGGTAGACAAGATACAGTTCTCAGAGCTAGGGCCTGTGCTTACATCAGAGTGCTGCAGTTAATCTTTATTTTCCTATAGCATTTGGAGTCTAAGAAAGTGACATCTCGTGCACATCGTGATTGCAGTCTTCCCATTTTTTATTAAAATCCTTGCTCTTGGGTGGTAACATAAATGCCAAAAATCTTGTTTTTTGAAACCTGTATTTCAGCCAGATTTGTGTTTTCTGTCTTACATGGATGTCCTAGCCTTTCCTTGTTCCTAGCAAATGAAGGACTTGGTGGGAAAGCAAATTTCCCAGGCAACTAGGGATGATTCTCAGTGGGGAAGTTGACTTCTGGATAATAAAGAGCAGCTCATGTAACCTACGTGATGATGCTCAGAAAGTAATAATTTAAAATGTTTTTATTGTTTTGAAGGTGCGATGCTTTAGTACAACAGTGGTCAGGCCATTTTCCAAGCTCGTGCGGGTATGTCAACTTTTGTATTTGTAATTAACTGTAAAATAGATGAAAGTGTGTGAGTCAAACAGCAGTACAATTAGGGCATAGATTTTTGTATAAGTACTACCTAAACCTTTCTGCATGAATTGTGGTTTCCAAAATGTGACGTGTGCATGGGGGTAGAGAATGGAATAAGTTGAATGCCTGGTGTGCGACAGGCCCGTGCATTACCTTTGTGAGACTTTCTTAAAACCCCATTACAGTGATGGAAAGTAGCCAGTCTTCCCGTTTACAAAAAAGGGAACGGACTCTGGGAAAACCTGCCTAAGGTTACTCAGCTTGGTCTTAGAGCTGGACTGGAACTAAATCTTTCTCATTCAAGGCCTGAGCTTTCCTACTACAACCATATCGCACCGCCAAGCATATGTAGTCATGTATTGATGATGGTGTGTGGGGAAAAGGCTACAGTATCTTCTGAGAAATCGTTCAAGCATGAGGCACTCAGTGAGTTGCTAAAGAGCTCTGTTAAACTGAACATGGGTGAGGAGGCACTGTAGGGGGAGTTTATAATGTTATTATGAAATATATAAAAATACCCTGGTGTATGTTTCGTAAATACCTGTTTTCTTGGCTCTAATGTGCAAAACGGGCTTCTATCAGTGTTTAAAATCTCCAGTACTTGGAACTGACCAGTTACTGTGTTCCAAGGAAGCATAAGCTCCTCTCAGAATTAACGTAACTGATTTCTATAGTTAGAGCTGAAAAGGACACCGTGTTCCTCAGCACCTTGTTTTAAGATGAAAAATACGGAAGTTCGAAGATTGAGTGACCTGGCCAAGGAGACAGCCCTGATTTGTTTGAGAATTGCCCTTCAGAATAGCTCCTTGATGACCTGTTTCAACTGTTTTGTGCTTTAAGTGATGTCATTTTTTTTTTAATATACATATTTAATGCTCCTCTTGGTAATATGCTATCTTAACTGATTTTCTTTTACTCTTCCTCCCCTACCCCATCCTTTTTTTTTAAAGCCACCTGTTCAGGTATATGGTATCGAAGGTCGCTATGCCACTGCTCTTTATTCGGCTGCATCGAAACAGAATAAACTGGAGCAAGTAGAGAAAGAATTGTTGAGAGTAGCAGTAAGTAGCGTTTCTGTTCATTACTTACTAAATTTCCATTGTGTATTTTTTGCTTTAATTATCTGACCATGTATCCCTAATGAGGTATATCCTAAAAGAAAATGGAGTACCAAAAAAAGGGTGGGGGGAACGGGTTTTCTGTAACCACGTTGGTAGTGAGAGTAGTGGGTCTTACTATTCTGAACCTATTGTATAATAGGTACAGGCAGATGCATATCAAGGATATTAATATTAGGAACCAAGATTTGGGGCTAAGAGAAGAAATAGAAGTCCCCTTTGAAAATCTGTGTTTGTATTTCAGATGTTTCCAAAATAGTCTTTAGAAAGTGTATTATAACCTTCTCTACTAGGAATTTATTTTCTTTATGAAGTCTTTCCTCAGTTTCAACTTTTACTTTATTCCCAAGATGTGAGAGGAAAATGACCAGAGCATGCCGAGCAGCAAAATTAGGAAAGGTGTATGGGCTCCGTAATGATAGTAGAGATCTGACAAAGATCATGAAGCTTACAGGGGAAAGTTTATTTTTACATTTTTTTTAACATAAAAGGAGTAATTAGTTGAATTAACAGAAGTCTACTCTGTAAATTAAAGAGGAGAATCTCTGCTGTAATTTGAACTCTGTTTTCTAGTTAATAAGTTCTGCCCATTTTGTCGCTTCCCCTTCTCTTTTCGCTTTGTAGTTGCCACCCCCAACAGTAAGTTCTAGATAAAAGAAGAGTCTAATATATACTCTCTCCAGAAAAATTTTTGCTCTTTTTTGGTTTTATGTTTTAAGAAGTTCTCGTATTCTTAATCTGCTTATTTTTAAAGATTTTTTTATCTTACTGTTTGGGAGAAAAAACCCTCACAGGCCAGTCATAGAGGATAATACTTAACATATTTTGTACATTTTTCATTTTAAGCTTTTTATCGGAACTGTTGTCCTCGCAGACAATAATGTTAGCTCTCTGTTCCTTTTTTGTCCAGTTATCTCCACAGATAATGCTTGCGGTCTTAGTTGATGCGATTATGGTCCACACGGAGCCAACAGTCTTACTGTGGGAGACGCTTGGGAGAAGGGTAGCAAGAGCAGGCAGGATCACACATGGGAATTTTTGGAGGCGATAATGACTGCCCGCAACTTGCTGTTTACACCCATTTTAAACCTGAACAGTGGTGTTCGCGTTCATGAGCATGACCTGGGTTGTGGTCATTAGAATGGGATTTGACTAAAACCTGGAAACCAGTTAAGATGCGGAGACATAGAAAGGAGGCAGTTACCTGAAGACGCTATAAAACATTAGTGTTTTGGTACTGGCAGGAAAGTGTGGTGCCACGCAGATGCCATGAGCTGCCCGCTGGGTGATGCAGCAGAAAAAGATGAGAAACATGAAGGACTGCATTCCCCTAACACCAGAATGCTCTTTCATTTGTGTAACTCAGCAGTTTTTAGGGGGAAATATTGTTTCTATGGAGTCACTCAAATTGTTTTAGCCTGACAAGTTTTAGCCTGACAGGCAGCCTAGATTAGAACCAGAATTCCAGCCAGGAGCCTGGGAGAAGGGGCTACTGGAGGTATTTAACTGGAAGGTGTCCAAATGGAAACAGCCATTGGTTCATTGAACTCTGGCCTCATACTGAGGGGAGCAAGGTGCCGGAAGCTGCCCTGGGTCACTGAAAATGGACATTTATGAAATAACAAAATGGAGATGCATGGGGGGGAGGGGGTGTGTCTCCTGGTAGCTGCACTCCCACTGTTTGTCCGCTCTCCCTCCCAGCCAGACTGAGGCTGCTCTGGAAACACCAGAGGTCTCATGGGGCTCTATAAAATGCTGGACGGAGTCAGGATCAGACTGAGACGGAGAGGCCCCCGGAAAGTCATGACAGGGAGGCCTCCTTTGCCATCAGACCTCCTTTCTAGGTCTGCACGTGAGTGTTGGCGTCACTGGCCTCGTAGTATGTGAACATCTGGAGTCCTACCTGCATTAAATACATTAGCATAGGCAGTCATTGAACCCTTTGGCTGCTTAGTTTTTTTCCTCTCTTGAAAAGCAAAAACAAATTTAAGAGACTTTACATGAAGTGTTTTTAAATTTTTTCAAGAAATACCATTATATTCTGATAAAATCAAGGTACACTGTATTTTCAAAGGGAAGAAAATTACTTGACTCTAAACTTTTCTTCATGTGTGCTTGAGTGCTGATTTCATTAACGAAATACATGATTCAGAATAAAGTATGTTGTGGCAGCGAGGATTATTAATGCTGTAATACTTTCGGTAC